GCTCCTTTACCTGTTTTCTGCTCAGGTGATCTTCCTTCCTTTACCGGGTCCACTCCTTTCAGTCCTGTTCAAAACCCAAAACCTACAGGTTAGAAGATTTAAATCGGACCAAAAGTCTCGCACAGCCGATCCGTTTGGGTTCAACACCAAAGCCCAACTTTTAAGATATAAAAACATGTAATGATTGATATATTCCTCCAGGTAAAGATCTGCTAATCTTTGCTAGAATCCAACACAGACTGGGTTTTTTCTTTTGGAAACATTAATGCTAAGCTACATGCCACGATGTTACATCGAACACTGGTAGAGCCAAATGCTTTGCTGCTCTGTCCGAATCCAACACAAAATCGTGCCTTAGAGGTGGTGGCGTTTAGCTTTCATTGAGAGTCAATGGGGAAGATTTCCAGCAGGGGGCAGCGTAGCTCCGACTGAGATGGAGCCCAGGTCTATTTTAGTCGGAAACATTTTAATTGCAATTATTTTCAACCAATATTGCATTTGCGATTGCATTTCCATTTTTTTTATTGCACTAATCATAAGCATGTCAATGTTTCACTCCAGGGTTTCAGTTTTGTCTGAAGTCCGTTGTTGCAGAGCTTTATTGTAATCTTTGATTTGAAAATGGCTAACTTTTACTTGCATGCAAAGATCGGAGAGCTAGCTAGAAAGATTCTCTTTTTTGTGGCAGCAAATCTTCTTAAATCATATGACCGCCTCATAAAGTGCTGGAGCGGAATGAAAATTTGTCTCTTAGTCTTGTTAAACGTAACTTGACCAAATTTGGTTTTCAAAATTGCGATAATATATTGCTAATGCAATAAATTGCCCAGCCCTACTTTCTGAAAACCAAAATTCCGAGTTATGCTGGTTCTTATTCCGAGTGAAAAAGGAACCAGGCGTCCCAGAGTCGTTTCCAGATACCTTACCTTGTCTCCCTTTCCTTCTGGAACCTTTAAGGGGTGACGCTGCAATGTGGACGGCTAGATTTCCTTCACTTTAACTACCATGACCTTTTCCATCATTTTAAAGGAAAAGTCGCTCATATTCAGAATTCAAACTTCTGAAAGTCCTTTAAATCTGAAATGATTCCATCCTGTTCAATAAATGATCAGTGTTTTTAATTCAGAGTAATTTTCATGTGAATGTGCTTTACTGGAGGCATCCATGTTTGTCAAAGAACACTACTGCCACCTACTGGTTAGTGACATTGTCACGGTGCGGTATCGGCTGTTGATCAAGTCCCAGTGCTGTATCTGGTGTTTGTCACAACGCGCTATTATCCAAGTCATCTTGAAAACATTCTTCTTCCAAATGTTGGCTACATATTACGGGTTTTTTCTCTGGCCAGAAGTTCGATGGCAAATCCTCCCTCTTCAAGTTGGCGATCCAACGACCAACCCGTCCGTGGAGGATCAGGAATCAGAAAGGTGGAATAACTCTTTTTTTCACTTTTACCCGATGTATTCCAGCATCCAGCTGCCATGCACGTGGGCATTGTCAGTTTCACTATAGCTCTGGTGAATTTCAATGGTGAAGTCCTCTGGAAATCTTCAATAATTGTTGTTGATTGCAGATGTGTCTAGTAGTTCCCATTGATTTAGCTTGGAAAGCGGGGAGAATGGCGCTAGGCTTACCGCACCGTGACGTCACTGCTGGAAGATGGCAGGAGGGAGGGGCTTCTATATTTGGAGAAAAATGGCCGCTATTAGTTTTAGGTATAAATAACGATCCATTGATTATTTCTTACTGATCGGACTTTTCCTTTAATTCAACATTAACTGATCATCAGGAAGAATCATCCTCCCTCCAAACTGATATGCTGCTGAGCAAGGCACTTCCTACCAGACTGTGACAGAAGGGCTTTGATTGGCTGGTATGACTAAAGAAACACATAGGCAGCTTTTCTCTATCAGAAAAATACTGCTTGTATTTATTTAAAGAATTGCTGGATTTTCAAAATAAAGTAAAACTTTTAGGCGTTTCAATAAAGCAGACATAAAGCAAAAGAAAACACCATAACAAAATTCTGCAGAGGGGATGAATTATGTGACTGAATTTACAGATAAATGTGATGTTTTTCACAGCTTCAATCTCCAGCGAGGAGCTGATGGAGTCTGTCTGGAAGGAAACGAAAAAGGACGGGACAGGAGATCGGCAATAGTTTATTCTGAACAGAATGGAAACTAAAATGCTTCCACAAACTTTTACATCTTTGAGAGTTGTTTGGTTTTAAGCATCTTTGACCCCCCCCTAATCAGACCAGATATCTCTGCTACACAATAAAAAAAAAAACCTTAACCAAGATGAAAATGAATGAATAAACAAAATGCATATTTCTGAAAACAACAAAGCTTAAATTAACCAAACAAAAAAAACATATATACATCATGTGATACAACATGTTAAAAGTCTGTAGTGCCGTTCCAGTTTTACCTTTGTTATAAATACAGAAAGTCTACAGAAAACCCGCAGAGAAACTAAAACTGTCCAATCAAGGTATATTGCTGTTTTAATCCTCCACTTAAAAGACATCAAGCTAAAGAAGGTCATAAAAACCCCTGAAGGGGGAGGAGCTTCTGACACAAAGCTGCAGGATAGCAGAGAGAAAGGGGGAGGAGTCTGCTGGTTGTCATGGCTGCCCCCTTTTGTGTTTGTAAACACTCATTATTAAACACGAGCAGCAACTAAAGCCCGGCATACACTGTTAGGGGTGTAAATAATAATCGTTTTGTATCGATGCATCGATCCAACAGCCGACGATCCGATGCATCGATACGTCCGCAAGAGAATCGATTCATGTTTTTTTTTCCTCCGGTCTATTTTTAGCCATCTGCTCCTGGACGTAATTCTCCCTCCCGTGCTGCGGTGGCGCTAAACATATTTTGCCCTCCTACCTCGCTTCCT